ACACCCCAGGGAAGTTCCCTTTACATTGGATCAGGGATGTGACCTTAGTAAGGGTGTTACAATCCCACCCTAATCCTCTTTAACATAAAATTATGATCACAAAATGGAGGACAACCACACAATACTGGGAATCGTCCCAGCCGAAATGATATACACATTTTTGGGGTGACACAATTCAATCCACGACAGGTGGGATATACTCAAGGTCGTAATTTGGCTCTTGTGGACTTCTAATCTTCTTCAGCTTCAACTTGAGCTTGCATATAAGCGATTAATGATCTAGTGGATCCTCTTAATTCATCCTCCTTATTACTTTTCTCTTATGATTTGTCTTTTTTAATCTGTGTTGCTTTTTGGATCAATTTCTTGATACTGTCTTATAAATCATTTTTTTTTCTTAGAATATATGTAGAATAGTTTATCTTCACTAGGTAGATTTTTTTATTTAAATGACTGTAGTTTTTATTTCTTAGGTTTCTATTTGTTCTTTTCATATCCACATATCCTTTATTCACATCTGCCTGTTTTTAAAATATATGCTGTTATATTTTATTATAATTGCTTTCTTTATCTCTGAGGATTGAAAACACATTTATTTAGAAGTTATTTTGAAATTTTTCTGTTGCTTGTACTTTGTTGGTAGCTAATTAGCGTCCTCATTTTTAAGTATGATGGCCTTTTTTAAAAAATAATGTATTTTATTTTTGTTCTTGTTTTTGAGAATATACACAGTAGAACATAGACCAAATCAACAATTCTATATGTACAATTCAGTTACATTGAGTACATTTCTTTAAGTTGTGCGTCCATTCTCACCCTCCTTTTCTGAGTTGTTCCTCCCTCATTAACATAAACTCATTACCCTCTAGGTTTCCTGTCTAATCTTTTGAGTTGCTGTTGTCAGTTTGATCCCATATAGAGAGATCTTAAAAAAACACAATGCTCAAGGCAGAAATTCTTTGCTAGTTAAGCTAAACTATTGTTTGGTGTTAAGAAGACTTCAGGGGACTATTTTTGGTTTAAAGTTTAAAGATTATCTCAGTACAATAGCTACAGGGCCTGAGACTCCAGAAAGTCGGGAGTCCTTGAGAATTTGAGATTCTGTTATGTATTTTCCCCTTTTTGATCAGGATTCTTCTATAGAATTTTTGATCCAAATGTTCAATAATGGTAGCCAGGCACATCCAGTTCTTCGGGTCTCATGGCAAAGGAAGCAGTTGGTCATGGAGGCAATTAGCTACACATTCCATTTCCTCCTCTTATTCCTGACTCTCCTTCTTCCTCTGTTGCTCCAGGTATGATGGGTTCCTTAATGTCAATTTTCCTTCCAGGCTTTGGAATTTTAGTATGCAGGCTCTTCTTCAGTGGGAGATTTTTTTTTTTCTTTTCTTGACATCACTCATCTTCTCCATCCATTTTATGCTTGCCTCCACCTGGCACTCCTCAACTGGCCCAGAGTGACATCTGATACTGAGGGAATTCATTGTCCTGTGGTAGTTTGGGGCTTTACCCAATGATATTTCAGGTGGCTTGAGCCAGTCCTGTCTATGTTGCTTCCTCTGTTTGCTTATACCACTACGCAGCCAGAACCTGCTCAGGGGCCACAGAATTTTTAAGATTCCTTTTCAGGATGGAGAAGCCCTACTTTAGTCCCTGCTTTCATATCTTTAACCTAATTTCTTATGAGTTGCTTGTAATTCCTGTTACCTTGCAAGAATTGAACATTATCCTCGCTCATCACAGTTTTTCTTGTTTTGTTCCTGATCCACAACACTTTGCATGACGTTTTTAGGTGTGCTATGTCTTTTTATTTTTAAAAATATATTTTACCTTTCAGTGCTGCATTTTTAGCATGGAGTGTTAACGTTTGAACTCAAAGAATTACATGACAGAAAGTCAAAAAAACAACAAATTAGTAAGATTATATGAGTTTGTCGGACCTGAACACCTACCGACCTACCGACACAGAGTTGGAGTTTGATCTAAATGGAAAAAGCCCAGTTCACTTTGCCACAGATAGGATGTTTAAGGTGAAATAGTAAAAAAAAGAAGGTTTCAACAGTTTCAGAGGTCGTAAGAGAAGTTTGGTATTCTGGGCTTTCATTTCCTCATCATCAGAGGAGGTAGGCTTTGTAAGCAAGTCTTAATGTATAGTGATCCTCTCCAGACTGTTAATTTTCTTCATCATTTCATTAATCATCACCAATTTTCAGGCCATTTGGAAGACTTTGAAGCAGGTTGATCCATATTTGCTTACAAAATTGTGCTTTCTTAAATGTTTAAATATCTTAATACAATGAACTTAGAAGAGCAAGAGAAAAGAAATATTGCTAATTTTAAAAAGAAAAATGCAGGATTTATGCTCAAACTGCACTTGGAATTGAGTAGACAGCAACTGAGGCTCAACTTAATTTTAGTTTGCGGAAGTAACCGAGCTCAAAAGAATCATATTTTTTTGAAGAGTAGCAGAGTGATTTGGAAGATGTTAAGTCACAATTTCAAAAGAAGTTCACATCACATTTTGATGAGCATGAATCATGTTTTACAATTCTGTGGTTGCTCTTGGAGATTAAACCTAAGTATGTAAGTGAATTCTATCAGACACATTTTTCAAAAGAAACAGATTGTCCTAAAAGTTAAAACAAACATATGAAGAAAACATAGAATCTTGGAATTTTGAAGTGGAGTTTATGGAAGTATGCTCAAATATCTATCTGTGTGACTAAATTCTGGATTATGCTTGTGCCCATTTGACTCCATAAAAGTACCCTCTCTCCTGAGAGGTAAATCTAGAGATAGGATCAAGATTCTCTCTAATTGAATATATTCAACACTTTTCTGGAGTATTTGACTCCCAAAAGAGTTGTACTGTATTTCTACACAAATAACGGGCACCTTTGGCATTTGTTTGCTGGCTGCACCCTACCCCTGCTAGGTATTTTCATAGGCGGTGCTATTCCAATTTTTTTTTTTTTATTATGTGTTGCTGTGAAGAAAATTATCATGGTGCACTGGCGAGTATGCCTCACAGGGGTGGGGGGAGGGTGCAGCCGGCAAACAAACACAGGAGATGCATGTTATTTGCATAAAAAATAAGGTAGTAAATTGTAGTTTTCTTATTCATGTGATCACAATTGATCATACTAATAATAGCACATGATTATGCTGATAACAGTATATGGATAAAGCTAATTTACATGTGCAGCTTTTCCCTTATTAAAAAAAATTATGTTTTTTGAGGTTTTGATTTGCATTCCCCTAATGACTAATGACATTTAGCATGTTCTCATGTGCTTTTTGGGCATTGGTATTTCTTCTTTGGTAAAATGTTCAAGCCCTTTGCTCATAAGAAAATGAATACAATGGGTGTTGGTGAGAATATGGAAAAATTGAAACCTTCATCGATTGTTGATGGAGTTGTAAAGTGAATCAGTCACTGAGCAAAATGGTTTGGCAGTTCCTAAAAAAGTTAAACATAGAACTATCAGATGATCCAGATATTCCATTTCTAGGTCTATATCCAAAAGAATTGAAAGCAGGAAATGTGTGCACCAGTGTTTATTGAAGCCCTGTTCACAATAGCCAAAAGGTAGAAACAACCATAATGTCCATCAACAGATGAATGGATAAACAAATGTGGTACATACATAAAATGGAATATTACTCTGCCATAAAGAGAAATGAAGTTCTCATACATGCTACAATATGGATGAACCTTGAAAAAACGCTGAGTGAAATAAGTCAGTCACAAAAGGACAAATATTAATATGATCCCACTTATATGAAATAGGCAAATATAGAGAGACCAAAGTTTGTTACCAGTTACCAGAGGTGGGAGGGAGGAGGAAAGCAGGAGTTGTTGCTTAGCGGACATTGGGTTTCTGTTAATGGTGGTGGAATAATTTGGAAAAGAATAATGGTGATACTTGTACAACATGATGAATGTAATCAATGTCACTGAATTGTACATGTAAAAATTGTTGAATGGGCAAATGTTTTGTTATATATATTTTTACTACAATAAAAGCAAACAAACAACTAGAACGGGTGTGGGGGTGGGGGAGAAAGCTAAAGGAGGTAGGGTCTCCAAAGGCTACTGAGAGTTATGATAATAACAACTACAATGTAGAGTTAAAAGTTCTAGAATACTGCCTGATTTTTGTAGATCAGTTAATACTCTCATGTGGAAACCCTGGTGGCGTAGTGGTTAAGAGCTCGGCTGCTGACCCAAAGGTCGGCAGTTCAAATCCACCAGGTGCTCCTTGGAAATCCTATCAGGCAGTTCTTCTCTGTCCTATAGGGTCGCTATGAGTTGGAATCAACTCGACAGCAGTGGGTTTTTGGTTTGGTTAATACTCTTATAACAATGTAGAGCATCTGATTACTTAAACCCTGTTTCTATTCTAGACAGTTTAAGTTTTTCCTATTCAGTACATTGAAGAGACTGAAATGTGGTGATGATTAGAAAATGTAGTTTTAGTTAATAGTAAAAAAAAAAAAAAAAAAATCAATTCAGGAACTTAGAAGTATAGCTGTTCTCTCTTAAGCAAAAATATTCCGCTCTGCTGGTTAGACGTGGAACAACATCTGATGGTGTTTTCCTACCAAGACGTCTGTTGTTGAGGCTTATGTGGCTTTGTTTTATAGTAGTCTTTGCAAATGCTTGATTGGAGCCAGAGGTGAGGGTTGGGAGAACTGAAGAAGGGATATTCTTTGTAAAAATTTAGGTTAACAATGTTATCTTTTGCTGATTTAAGAATTTTCTTTAAAAAACTACTTAGTTTCCAGTGTTTCAGTTCTTAATATTTATTTTTCCAAAATTAAACATACCACAGAGTAAAATTTCCTTTTCAATTTATGATAGGTTTGTAACCAAATTACTAGAAGACCTCATCTTCTTTGCTGCTGATGTGCCTAATAATGGACAAGAAGTTCTGGACGTGCTTATTACTAAGCCAAACCGAGAACGTCAAAAATTAATGAGGGAACAAAATATATTGGCACAGGTGAATTTTTTCATTAGTATTTTTTCATTGTATTAGTTATCTTTTGCTTTGTAACAAATTACTCCAAAACATAATGGCTAAAAAAAACAGATACTTATAATATCTCATAGTTTCTGTGGGTCAGGAGTCTAGGAGTGGCTTGGCTGGATGGTTCTTGCTCACGGTCTTTCACAAGGCTGCAACCATGGTGTTGGCTGGTGCTACAGTCATCTCAAGGCTCTGTTGGGGAGGATCTGCTTCCAGGCTCACTCATGTGGGTCTCTTCACAGAGCTGCCTCAAGACACAGTGGCTAGCTTTTCCTAGAAACTAGGAATCCAAGAGAGAGCACCCAAGATGGAAGCTATAATCTTTTTATACCCTAAACCTA